AGTTTTGGGCTCGATCCGAAATCAATAGGTGTAAGAAATTGGACAATTCAAGTTCATAGCAGTTCATTCCTGATTGGAGTGGTTGGTGTTTTTGGTAGTTCTAGAGATCGGATTTCACTCAAACTTAACCAAATGACTCCACCCACCATATTATGATGTTGCCCAAGTTTTGGGCTCGATGCGAAATTAATAGGTGTAAGAAATTGGACAATTTATGTTCGAAGGCAGTGCGTTCCTAATCGGAGTGGTTGGTGTATTCCATAGTTCTAGAGATCGAACTTCACTCAAAACTAACCAAATGACTCCTCCCACCATATTATGATGTTGACCAGGTTTTGGGATGGATCCGAAATCAATAGGTGTAAGAAATTGGACAATTTATGTTCGAAGGCAGTTCGTTCCTAATCGGAGTGGTTGGTGTATTCCATAGTTCTAGAGATCGGATTTCACTCAAAACTAACCAAATGACTCCTCCCACCATATTATGATGTTGCCCAAGTTTTGGGCTCGATGCGAAATCAATAGGTGTAAGAAATTGGACAATTTATGTTCGAAGGCAGTTCGTTCCTAATCGGAGTGGTTAGTGTATTCCATAGTTCTACAGATCGGATTTCACTCAAAACTAACCAAATGACTCCTCCCACCATATTATGATGTTGACCAGGTTTTGGGATGGATCCGAAATCAATAGGTGTAAGAAATTGGATAATTCAAGTTCAAAGGCAGTTCGTTACTAATTGGAGTGGTTGCTGTTTTGGGTAGTTCTAGAGATCGGATTTCACTCAAACTTAACCAAATGACTCCTCCCACCATATTATGATGTTGACCAGGTTTTGGGATGGATCCGAAATCAATAGGTGTAAGAAATTGGATAATTCAAGTTCAAAGGCAGTTCGTTACTAATTGGAGTGGTTGCTGTTTTGGGTAGTTCTAGAGATCGGATTTCACTCAAACTTAACCAAATGACTCCACCCACCATATTATGATGTTGCCCAAGTTTTGGGCTCGATGCGAAATTAATAGGTGTAAGAAATTGGACAATTCAAGTTCAAAGGCAATTCGTTCCTAATCGGAGTGGTTGGTGTACTCCATTGTTCTAGAGATCGGATTTCACTCAAAACGAACCAAATGACTCCTCCCACCATATTATAATGTTGTCCAAGTTTTGGGCTCGATCCGAAATCAATAGGTGTAAGAAATTGGAAAATTTATGTTCGAAGGCAGTTCGTATCTAATCGGAGTGGTTGGTATATTAGATAGGGGTAGTTCTAGAGATCGGATTTCACTAAAACTTAACCAAATGACTCCTCCCACCGTATTATGTTGTTGCCCAAGTTTTGGGCTCTATCAGAAATCAATAGGTGTAAGAAATTGGACAATTCAAGTTCCACGGCATTTCGTCCCTAATTGGAGTGGTTGATGTTTTGGGTAGTTCTAGATATCGGATTTCACTCAAACTTAACCAAATGACTCCTCCCACCATATTATGATGTTGCCCATGTTTTGGGCTCTATCTGAAATCAATAGGTGTAAGAAATTGGACAATTCAAGTTCAAAGGCAGTTCGTTCCTAGAAGTGCACTTAAATGTCTCGAAAATCACATATTCCTATGTGATTTGCTTACTTTAACTATCTCCAGCGATACTCACTATTCGATCATCTGAAACCATTGAATTAGTGTCAACTTTAACCCTTGATGACCAATCTGAATTGTCTTTGGTGTTAGCATTTCATCGATTAGAAAAGTTCTCCTCAACGTATTTCTTACTAATATACTCTCCTTTGAGTAAATTCTTAGGACACAAATAAAACCAAGTCTTCAATTATGAATCCTGTTCCATTAGTATGTATAAGAGGCTTTCCTTCTCTTTAGATTGGATTACTATACTCATCTCTCGATTCATATTCACAAAACAATCTCCCAATTTCTTCCTGCTTCTCTTCCCAGTTTACCTCCAGTTTACCTTCTCCAATCCCCGACATAACTGTCTCTAGTTATAATTCCTCCCAAATTGTTTCGTACCAAAGTGTATCCTACATTTTCATATGAAAACCTCAACAAATTTTTTCATCTGATTCAAGTGACTTTAAAATCCAGAAGTCAGATTTCCTCGAGAAACCAAGAAAACAATTTGCAAGACGTACTTGAAACGTCTAATGAGGTCATCCACGTCAAGGATGTCTCATTCTGTGATGGGACTCACAGCACTACCCACATACAAAGGATGCACACAAGGTGCAGGGTCCACAAGAAATTGAACCTAAAGCTCTGATACCAATTGACAGGACCTGCCCCGAATTCCTCGGAACCCGAGACGAATCCTGTGGAAATTTTCGACATCACATTGATGCCGGGCCTACTTACTAAGAACCGAGACTTTCTGCCGAAATTTCGGCAGAGTCTCCCTTAAAATTTGGCTTTCCCCAAAATTTCAACATGCACAAAATTCACATTTTAAAATCCCAACAACCAGCATGCACAAGTTATCAACATGCAATCACATAATAGGCCTCCGGCCTTCAGATAATTCAAAACAGAACCCATAATGTTCTTAAGTCAAGTAATACATAAACCATGAAATCAATGACCTCAACAACCTTACAAATACCACAGAAAATCATTATACCGGATTCAAATCCAACAATCACATCGAAAACCACATCAGAAGTCCAAGAATCGATCAAACCTTTTAAACACAATAATATTCCGCGGCTATACCTGGTGAGACCCCAGGCTGCCTACGTACCCTTGGGCAAGGGATCAAGCCACACGTAGTTCTCATGTCAACAGTCACAATTCCGATAATAAACAATTATTTACAACAGAACCAACTATACATTTCAGATTTATCACAACTCAAATTCCGACAAAACACAATGAACACATTCTCAATCTCTTTCTTTAATATCAGTTCAACCCCACAACCATACCCATATATCCCAGTGTCCATATCCACTGTTTCCAAGTATCATCATCCAAGGGGGGAGGTACGTATGATGGTGGAGTTCGTAATCCTTATATAAATATTATAAAGTAATATTCCCTTCCTCAATCCAATTTTTCCCAAGGCATCGTAGAGGCAAGGGAGAGATAAAGGCAAAGAGAAGAAGGAAAAACAAAATGAAAGAGAGGACGGAGACAGAGGGAAGAGAAAAGAAGAAGAAGAAGAAGAGGAAGAAGGAAGAGAGAGAGAGAGAGAGAGAGAGGGAGAAAGTTTTCAGTTTTTATTTTAAGACTATTATTTCAATTTTCCATTTTTTATTTTATTTTTCAATTTTTATTTATTTTTAACGTACAAAAAAACTATTTTACCCTCATATTTAACGGCAAATTGGATGAAATGTTGCAAATTTAGACGGCAGGGGGGAAATTGGCGAAAAAAAAAAGTTCATATCCTAAATTTTCTAAAAAAAAAGGATAGGGGCTAATTGAAAGCGAGGTTCAAATTTAGGGGGTATTTCACTAATAAACCCTTTTTTTTTATACAAACGACAAACCGTTTTATGATAACCAACAACGGTTTTGAAAGTATTTGACAGAAAAACTTAAAAGCGCTTTCGGAGTCATAAATGTGTTTTATGAAAAGAGCATATACTAATTAGGTGCCTTTTCAAGACTTGCATTTGTAATAAACAACATGTTTATATAATAAAAACGCTTATTAACTAATTGGAGGGGTATTTCTTACAAAAACACATAACTATGATGCCCATAAACAGCAGTGTCTTATATGTATGGGTGTGGTTGGTTGCAGCCCATAAACCGAAGCGGGCCTCACGAGAAGAGAAGGACGCGCGGGTGTTATTGTTATTGATATCAACGGCTATGATATCACGAGAAAGCCTAAAATAGTGTTCAGTTCAGTTTCTGTTTAAACTCAATTATTCATTTTGCTTTTTTTTTTAATGTCTCACCTGTGAGGAGAGAAAGGAGTTTGGAGAGAAGATCAAGGAGTCCTCAAGACAGCCGGAGAGTGGGGTAGCCCCTCCCCACAGGATCGCAGATCTGATTACAGTAGGAGTCCTATTGACGATGTTGAAGGGGATAAGAATGGGGATAGGAGGCATAGAAGCCCTGCTGAAGAAAACGGTCACAGCCGCAGCCGCAGCCGCAGCCAGCAATTTGGATTTCTGTGGGGGCAATAGGGTAATTTATGATTCGGATCCAGCGTTGTCAACTTCTTCACCAACGCGTACAAGACACTAGTGGTGAGTTGATTAATATAATGCTTAGAGTCAAGAGGACAAGATTAACAGAGAATTATTCACTAATTAGATTAATAAAGCATCTGCAAACAACACTAATTAGAGTTTGGCCTGATTGAGAAACTGGGTTGTCCCCTTTCATGCTCTGCCATAAACTTGCGCAATCCCTCAAGCTCCACGGCTACTTGCTCCATGGAAGGCCTTTCCTTCCTTTTTGACCTTAAACATCTTTTTGCAAGATCCGCCACCTTTTTGGCTGTCTCAGAAGTTGCTTCATTGACTATTATTTCACCATCCAGAATTTGATTCAAGCGACCCTCTTTCATTGAGGATAGAATACAGGTTGCCAGGGGTGGGTCTTCCCTTTCTTTGTTAGGAGAAGCTGGCTTTTGACTTGTTAGTAGCTCCGCTAGGACAACTCCAAAGCTATAGACGTCACTCTTTTCTGCTAGTCCGTCTCTTCGAAAATGAGGGTCCGTGTATCCTTCCTTTAATAAATCTGATGTGTGAAAGGCTGCTTGCCACTGTCCAATGGCAGACAGCTTTGCGGTGTAATGATCATCCAATAGTACATGTTTTGTCGACAAAAACAGGTGTATTATTGGCGGAGTGAGTGAGTGTAAGTAAGCTAGTGCTCCAGCTGTTTCTGACGCTATCTTGAGTCGTGACTCCAATGAAAGTAGAGCAGTTGGTGACGATGATGATCCTTCAAAGCTGCCTGCTGCTTCTTCTTTATGAATGTGCTCAAAAAGTGTGCCATTGGGAGTGTACTCAAAAACCAGTGCGGCTGTGCCATTGCAAGTGTTCCGAAGAACCCAAAATGGTTCTTTTTCTTCTTCTTCTTCTTCTTCCACACAACCACCTAAGAACCTCACCACATTTATGTGGTTGGTCTGAGAAGCAACAGCTGCCTCAAAAGCTGCAAATCCATGATAAACAGAATAATTGTACTTCTTTACCACAACCACTGTTTTATCATCATCTGTTATTGGCAGTACTCCTTTGTAAAAGGTTGCAGAGTTCCCTGTAGGAATGATTTTACTTCGATGGTAGTTGTCTGTTGCCTTCTCAAGTTCTTTTGCACTAAATGTTCTACGCATCATCCCAACGTAATACTCCATTTTGACCACTTCCCGCAAGTCTGTAGCCTTGAGAACAAGGGCTTCAACATGACCTATTGCCTTAGCAGACTCGGTTGCGAGTAATACGTAGTCAGGAAATGAGATCCACAAAGACAATGGCCAAAGTAGAAGCTCTTCTCCACATACTTCTCCTGCACCTCGAGGTCGTTGCTGCAAATTATTATGAGAAGAAGAAGAACCATCTCTCTTTCCAATGCTTACATTTCCGTCCACAATGAATAGCATCCTTATAAGTGGTTCACCCTTTTCAATAATGATAGAATTGTCATCAAACTCCCTGGGCTCAAGATACTGACAAATTCTTCTCAACACAGATTCATCCATGTTTTGCAAAGTAGGCACCTAGAAATAGAATGAATTAATAAATACATACATCTTATCTTAGAAGAATACAGAAAGAAGACTAACTACAATATTGTTAGTCGCATCTCTCTGAGTCTCATGTGATGTGTGTCTGGATCTTGGTGTTTTGTGAGATTCATATATGGCAATTGGCAATGGCATGGATGTTCCTTAATTTTCATGCTTCTCATCTACAATAATATATATATAAATATATATATATATATATATATATATAACCTTTTATTTAATTATTTAATTATACTAATTTTACCTAAGGATGTGTGTTGGTATTTTGAAAGTTTCACAACTACCACCCACGTCTCACTCTTAAGTAAACAAGTTATTATTAAATGCTTATTTGGATGGATGACACAAGTAATATCAATTTTGATATATATGGAAAGGCGGCTAGTAATTATTAGAGTCATGGGTTTGGAGGAACTTACCTGCTTCAACCTAGCCATAGGCATACAACTTCTAATTTGGCTCTGAAGATCCACGGGAAGAATAGAGAGGATGTAGTCCAAATCAGCATCCCTGTCTTCTTCAAGTTGTTGTCGTATCTTCTCCATGATCTTCAACTTCATATCCTTACGCAACCTTTTGGGGATGCAATTTTTAGATAACCACAATTCTGTCTCTCGACCTTTCATCTCGTGTTTATCCTTATAATCTGTAATTTGGCTCTGAAGATCCAAGGGAAGAATAGAGAAGATATAGTCCAAATCAGCATCCCTGTTTTCTTCAAGTTCTTGTTGTACCTTCTCCATGATCATCAACTTCATATCCTTATGCAACCTTTTGGGGATGTTATTTTCAGATAACCACAATTCTGTCTCTCGACCTTTCATCTCGTGTCGATGCTTATAATATGTAATTTGGCTCTGAAGATCCAAGGGAAGAATAGAGAAGATATAGTCCAAATCAGCATCCCTGTTTTCTTCAAGTTGTTGTCGTACCTTCTCCATGATCTTCAACTTCATATCCTTATGCAACCTTTTGGGGATGCCATTTTCAGATAACCACAATTCTGTCTCTCGACCTTTCATCTCGTGTTTGTGCTTATAATCTGTAATTTGGCTCTGAAGATCCAAGGGAAGAGTAGAGAAGATATAGTCCAAATCAGCATCCCTGTTTTCTTCAAGTTCTTGTTGTACCTTCTCCATGATCATCAACTTCATATCCTTATGCAACCTTTTGGGGATGTTATTTTCAGATAACCACAATTCTGTCTCCCGACCTTTCATCTCGTGTCTATGCTTATAATCTGTAATTTGGCTCTGAAGATCCAAGGGAAGAATAGAGAGGATATAGTCCAAATCAGCATCCCTATTTTCTTCAAGTTCTTGTTGTACCTTCTCCATGATCTTCAACTTCATAACCTTATGCAACCTTTTGGGGATGCCATTTTCAGATAACCACAACTCTGTCTCATTATCTTTCTTTTCCATCTTTTGTTTCACTTTCATATTGTGTCTATACGCCTCTATTCTTGCCGTATCCAACTGCATGTATGTCTATATATATGCCACAACACGCAGCTCAGTCATTATCTAGGAATTAGTTATTTATCAAAAACCAACCCAAAGCTTTAGAAAAAAAGACAAAGCCAACAATATGCATATAGAATATAGATATCAGAGCCAAAAACAAAAAGAGAGTAAAAACCTGCAAATTTCCAATGAGATATAAGAATAAAAGCAATCCAATTATAGAGATGGACGCTGCAAAGAGGTTTTCCCATCCATCCACGCTAGGCTCAAGGTTTGAACCAAGAGAACTGGAAAAATGAAATGGTGAAATATATTAGATATTACAAAATTGGACTTTTCTCTTGGTTCAACAAATTATGTCATGCATGTGTGAGATTGAATTTATATTATTCTCCAACAAATTAAGCAAATCGATTTCCGACTCAACAAAATTACAAAAAATATATACAAACCTCAAATTTCGCAATCCCCACCAAAAACAATTGGAGAGTTTCTGGAAAAAATTTGTTGACCCCGGTATACCAGATTGAAGGATTGTAATATATATACCAACATTCACTGGACTTATAGGGCATATATCATTTAGAAATGTAATATTTCTAAACGCGTGATGGTCAGGACAACCAAAAGTACTAGTGTTACATCTATTTTCTTTTCGACATGCATCATGCCAACAAGTGGCCATCCGTTGAATAGCGAAAAAGTACCATATGGCACCAAGTACCTGAAGCATAATAAGTTAATTATTAATTAGATTAGACTTAGAGATGATTATGAAATTATAAAGAAAAAAAATTGAGCAGACTAAGAATTGTGAGGGTTTCTACCTATAGGGGTACATAATATATTTACTCTCACGCCCAAACTAGCTAGAGTTTGAATCCCCTATTGTAACATCAAGAAAAAAAAATACATACTCTAAAGATTGAATGAAGATTTTATTGTTATAATATATTATATTGTTTTTTTTGGTCGAATAATATATTGATCGTTTTGCCCCAAATTTTACCAAGAAATCCAACCAAACAATGCTACATAAGCCTTTCATTTATTGATCATTTGTCCGCTTTAGTTTTGTTTTTAACATGTTAGTTTGTTGTCCTCTTGCGATTGATACTCTAAATGTCATGTTGATATCTTTGATTGTACTATTGAAGTTTATCTTTGATATAAAAAAAAAAATATCTAAAGCAAGCAATTGTACTCTGTAAGTAAAATAAATCCGATAAAATATTGAAACTTACATGACTAGCAAGGATGTACATAAAGAAATTCAAGACACCTTTAATCCATATAGCAGTCTCTCCAATCTCTATATGTTTAAGTTCCTTACATGATAAGTAGATACGAAATACTCGTGGAATATATTGCAATAGAACAAAAAGGTTCATGGTAACCATCCTTATCGTGTTCAAAAATCTCAAGTCCCTCAGTTTTGAAAAGAAAATGAGAATTGCTACCTGGACAAGATACATTGATAACATGAAAAGTTAAAATCTAATTAACACGAGTAAAACAATGAATCATTAATTAAGATGTTGAGTTGTCTTTTATTTTTTTATATTTTTTCTATAGCAGATATTGAGTTGTCAATATACGTGTGTATATATATATATATATATATATATATATATATATATATATATATATATATATATATATATATATATATATATATATATATATATATATATATATATATATATATATATATATATATTTATAGAACTTTAATTGATGGATATATCAAGTAATCTTATATGAGGGAAGATTTGAAAAATAGTCTTAATGATTTTAGATTTGTCTAATTTTTTGCAAAGACGATCCGAGAAGATTTGAAAAATAAATTATTTATATCATTGAAATAAAATTCACATTAGACCCCAAAAGGTGTGCCTCATATATATATAGGGTGGTGAATGTAATATCTTAAAAACAGACCAAATCCCTTTTGCATGAAAACAGGGAGATTGGTAAAACAAACAATTAATTCTAAGAAAGGGCTTCTCTTACCTGTGGAAGCGGAAGAATAGCCAAAATGTCAATTAAGATATTGTATGACCCCCACATTGTCTTAGTTATTGTTGGCACAAAAAATTTCCTCCAATATCTTATTTTCGAGCGATACTGTCTGCGACGATATTCATGCATGAAACCCGAATAGTTGTGGGATGTATAAATTTGAAAAATAATGTCAAATAAATAGAAAAGATCAGTGAGCGATCTTAAAAGAAGAGCGGCAATCTTCAAGTTTCTGTCAGACTGCACGCACTTGATATCATCCTTCATCATAGGAACGTAGAGAAACAATGGATCCAGCAGAACAGCAAACAGACATGATGCTACAAATATCTTCTTCCACTTTTGAAGGAAGGACTCACGAGTTTGCATGATTGAGTTTTCCTGAATCAGATGAAAGAAACAATTAGAGGTAAGGCATGATTAGTAGTCCATTGTATCATTAAGTATCGAGGGAGACAAAAAGTAGGATAATCATTAAGTAATACTTGTCCTCAAATCATACATATAGAAAAAGGAAAGTTGCTTGCGACTAAAGCAACACAATTATTCTGCAAGTAAAGTTGCTTCAGCTTCAGCTTCCTCTTCCTGCAATTAAAGAACCACAATTATTCTGCAAGTAAAGTTATTTCAGCTTCCTCTTTAGTGTTCTCCACGCCTAAAACTACTTCGGAGTTAGACATAACCCAGACTTTTTTCTTCTTCTTTTAGAAACTGAATAATCTTGCAGCTAGAACTCTGCAAAATTTGCAAATGATGTAGCAAATTCCCTTTGAAATTTGTACAACTGAATTCGGTGCTAGGCTTTGTTGAAGCTTTAAAACTAATAATGACTGCCACGTATTTACTATTAATAATAAAAATTTAAAACTAAGAGCATACTACGACGGGACCAGGTTTCTATTATTTAGGGAAAGTTGTAAGTTTTAACAGAGAAAGCACAAATATAAGCAGAAATTCGAGCATAAGCAAGCACGAATACAAACAGAGGATCTTGACTTGTAAGTTGTAAACAGAGAAAGGAAGGATAGAACAACACTAATTAGAGTCAATTATTATTGTTGTTGTTTGTGAGATCAAGAGAAACTGAGTTCTCCCCTTTGATACTCTGCCATGAACTTGCGCAATCTCTCAAGCTCTGCGGCTTCTTCTTTCATGGAAGGCCTTTCATCCCGTTTTGGCCTTAAACATCTTTTTGCCAGATCCGCCACTTGTTTGGCCGTCTCAGATGAAGTTGCTTCATTGACTATTATTTAACCATCCAGAATTTGATCCAAGTGACCCTTTTCCATTGAGGATAGAAACCAGGCCAGGTCTCTCTTTCCCAAAACCCTCTCAGGAGAAAAAGCTCGCATGTTCTCAAAGATCTCAAGTCGCTCATTTTTCAAAAGAAAATGAGAATTGCGACCTGGATAGCATTAATAATACAAAGAGTTAAAATCTAATTATGCTGAGTAAAATAGTAAATCATTAATTAAGATATTAAGTTGTCTTAATTTCATATGTTTTATCGTCTATGAAAACAATAATTCCAAGACAGGGCTGGCTTCTCTTACTTGTGGAAGCGGAAGAATAGCCAAACTGTCAATTAAGATAACATATGACCCCAACATTGTCTTAGCTATTGCTACCAAAGATTTGCTCCAAAATGTTATTTTAGGGCGGATTCTTTGACGATATCCATAATTTTCTTTTTCCATCCACACATCGTCGTAACCCAGGGGGTCTCTGGCATCTTTAGAAGGTAATAACGGGTGTTGTCTGCCACGATACTCAACAATTAAACCCGAAAAGTTGTCAGATGTGTATAAACTTGAACAATAATGTCAAATATATAGAAAAGATTAGTGAATGGTCTTAAGAGAAGAGCGGCCGTCTTCAAGTTTCTGTCAGATTGCAGGCAGTTGATGTCGTCCTTCATCATAGGAACGTAGAGAAACAATGGATCCAGCAGAACAGCAAACAAACATGATGCTACAAATATCTTCTTCCACTTTTGAAGGAAAGACTCCCTAGGAGGAGGATCATGAGTTTCCTTGCTTGGGTTTTCCATTGTAGCCCCTGAATCTGTATAATAGCGATTCCTGGAGAAAAGAGAACAACAAATTAATATAAAAATAATATAATAGTCCATTGTATCAATAAATATCGAGGGAGACAAAAGGTAGTTTAATAATCAATGTAATACTTTTCCTCACAGAAATGTAATTGGATACTTGGTCGATCGTAGTCGGATTGCAACACACTGACCTTATTAGTTGTCCTGAAATCAACAGATTAGAGGCTCCATACAAAAAGAAAAAAGCAAAATACTTGCAACTAAAGCAACACAATTATTCTGCAAGTAAAGTTGCTTCAGCTTCAGCTTCCTCTTCCTGCAATTAAAGAACCACAATTATTCAGCAAGTAAAGTTACTTCAGCAGCTTCCTCTTCAGTGTTCCCCACGCCTAAAGCTACTTCGGAGTTAGGCATAACCCGGACTTTTTTTTTTCTTCTTTTAGAAACTGAATAATCTTGCAGCTAGAACTCTGCAAAATTTGCAAATGATGTAGCAAATTCCCTTTGAAATTTGTACAACTGAATTCAGTGCTAGGCTTTGTTGAAGCTTTAAAACTAATAATGACTGCCACGTATTTACTACTAATAAAAATTTAAAACTAAGAGCATCTACAATCACTATCCCTATTTTTTAGTTAAAATTTTAGTTAAAAGCACTAAAAAGCTATTTTAGGAGCTCTTTATAAAATTTCTACGTGATATATGTACAAAAAATTCAGATGCAACCATGAAAGGCCTCTTTGGGATATCAAGAGAAATTGGGTTCTACGTCTTCTCCCCTTTGATACTCGGCTTTTTATCACAAATGGTCCTTGACGTTTACGAAATTATCATGAATGGTCTTTAACGTTTGGACTTTTTATCACAAATGGTCCATGTTGTCAGAAATTCTGTTAAGTGTATGTGCTTTTTATCACAAATGGTCTTTGACGTTTAAAAAATTATCACGAATGGTCCTTGAGTTTTTTTTGTGACACTAATAGTCCTTAACGTTTGGACTTTTTATCATAAATGGTCCCTACCGTCAGAAATTCTGTTAAGTGTATGATGTGGAAGATAAGTGGAGCCCACATATCCAATCACATCGTGACATGTGGATTAAATAAATAAATAAATATTTTTTTGATGAAAATCCATTAAAAAACCATTCTCTCTCTCTCTCTCTCTCTCTCTCTCTCTCAAGATAGGGACAAGGGCTCCCTTCATCGAAACCGCTGGTGCTGTTATCGCACTTGTTTAAGTTCCTTTTGGATTCTTCCATTTTCATTTTGTCCGTCGCAATTTGTAGACCAAGCAAAATCAAACACAACAAACAAGGTATTAAAACCAGCGATACATTCGAGCACATATTTCGTTTCTGCAAAATAATCAACATTATGTGATCAGCGCTTGTCCAAAATTTATATTAAAAGAAAAATGAAACTAGGATAAAAATGAAAGATAACTTATAAGTTTCAACACAAACATTAACAAACCCAATGCATTCACTTCACACAATATCACAATGAATCAAACACATCAAATTGATTTTACATAAAAACTGAAGTACCTACCTTGTTTATGAACTTTTCGTGTTCTTCACCTTGTTTGGCGATCTTAACAGCCTGTTTTGAGAGGATCTCTCTGGTCTGAATCGCTTGTTTCGACAAAATCTCTTTGGTTTGAGCCACTTTCTGAAAAAACAAGCATTCCCATATCTAGAAAAACCAAAAATAAACATAACCCACAATTCAAAACGAATCAAGATGACAAATTTGTGTTACCAAAAGCAAAAAAGCAAACGAATTTGGCCATACCTTAGATCGATCTTTCAAACCCTGCTTCACTATGTGAAATGAATCCCCATTTGTTTTCTCCACAGGCTCTTCGTTATTGGACATCTTTTGTTAATCGGAAACAGAGTTACAGAGATAGATTGAGAGGTAAAAGAGCGAGAGGGAGAGAAGGAAGGTGGTGCTTGTGTTTCCACACAAAATATGTTATAAGCTTTAAAAGGAAGGCTCTCTCTGCTTCCACATATAAAAGAGGTTCGCACTTTTTTTATGTGAAACTTCTGTATGTTTTTTACCTTTTTTTTTAATGGAGGTAAATGAGAGAGAGAGAGAGAGAGAGAGAGAGAGAGAGAGAGGCTAAATGGTTTTTTAATGGATTTTCATCAAAAAAATATTTATTTATTTATTTAATCCACATGTCACGATGTGATTGGATATGTGGGCTCCACTTATCTTCCACATCATACACTTAACAGAATTTCTGACGGTAGGGACCATTTATGATAAAAAGTCCAAACGTTAAGGACTATTAGTGTCACAAAAAAAACTCAAGGACCATTCGTGATAATTTTTTAAACGTCAAAGACCATTTGTGATAAAAAGCCTTGATACTCTGCAATAAACTTGCGCAATCCCTCATGCTCCACGGCTACTTGCTCCATGAAAGGCCTTGCCTTCCTTTGTAACTCCAAACATATTTTTGCTAGATCTGCCACCTTTTTGGCCGTCTCAGAAGTTGCTTCATTGACTATTATTTGAGCATCAAGAATTAGGTCCAAGCGACCCCCTTCCACTGAAGTTCGAAATAAGCTTGCTAGGTTCACAGGAGGAGAAACTGGCTTTTGAATTGTTAGTAGCTCCGCCAGGACAACTCCAAAGCTATAGACGTCACTCTTTTCTGCTAGTCTGTCATTTCGAAAATGGGATATAATCTGAGCTTAAATAAGGTGCATTGAACAATCGTGACTATGTCAGACAACTTTGCCGTGTAATGATCATCTAATAGTATATATTTCGTCGCCAAACATTGGTGTATGATCGGCGCGGAAGTGAACGAGTGTAAGTAAGCTAGTGCTCTAGCTATTTCTGACGCTATCTTGAGTCGTAACTCCAATGAAAGTAGTAGTGCAATTGGTTTTAGTTTATGAATGTGCTCAAAAAGTG